TTAAATTTCGCTACGAATCACGAAAGCAATACGCTGCCAGAACTTGTATTTAAGCCACGTATGCGAAAAGCAATACGCCTCCGTCCCGATTGGACGGTCCCGATTCGATGCGTTCCAATTCGAAGCGGTGTCGATTGGACGCGTTCCAATTCGAAGCGGTACCGATTGGACGCATTCCAATTCGACGCGGTGTCGATTGGACTCGTCCCAATTCGACGCGGTGCCGATTGGACGTCTTGCGTTTATGACGTCTTACAGTTCCAACTCCGTGCCGATTGGACAGGTTCCTTTTGGACTCGGAATCGTTCGGACTTCGTAGAGATTGGAACTCGCTTTGTTTTAGTTCGCGCGGCGGTAGACGCAATTCGGTGTACTAAATTTCGTATATATTATGCGTTATGTGATAAAATATGTGATGGAATATATTAAATTCGGATGTGAATTCAATTAAATTGGTGATTCTTTTGTGTTTCGTGTGTTGAAATGCATAATATGTATAGGTTTTATTGTAAATTTAACTTTAAGTGTAATAGAGATTTGCTGTGATACTTGCACATCTATACGTCGCGGCGTCTAACGAAATTCTGCCCCGAGCACGCGTGCAGGTTTCGACACGTCCAAGCAACAAACGACGATCGCTTCGACGCAAAATTCCGTTGAACACGCAAAAATCGTTATATGTATACTACTTCACGAAATACGTTACTCTAACTATAATACAATGTATGTTTACTTACAACTATGTTACACTCCCTACATATGTGTTTAGCAATATATAGATGAAATTTAAAATCTTTCGTAGCGTTGAATTTAAACCTGTATATAATAGTGGTTTTTCGTCGGATTTCATAATGCAAATGTACGCTAATGTTCATTTTGAGCAAAACCAGCGGCAGTAAATATTTGTCATTGATTGGTACGTAATTTTGTCCATTGTATGTAGAAGCGATGTTTGAATGTTGTATATATTGTTTGACAGGTACAGGTTATAGTGGGGAATATTTGCAAGCTGATTATTAAGACAGTGTAAGAAGCTGCATGTCAGTTATTGCAAGAAATATGGTATCACGTAGAATATTATTGTCCAGTAATCCATATGTATAGGTTAGTTTGGATTTATTAAAACTATGTGGGATTTTTATGTGTGCGAAGTAGAACTGATTTATTTTTTCTCATAAACAAGTGTAGCATATAATAGTGTCCGAAACGATTTATATGTACAGTGAGTAACTTTAATATTCGGACACCACAAAATTTTTATTTTGTTGCACTATAATTTTGTTCTTAACTGGTAAAAACATAAATAGTTAGGTGTAATATTTAGGCACTGTGTCTCGTTAACAATAAGACAAGTTTTATTTACATCACATCTAAAATTCGTTAAATAATACGTGTTAAATAAAGCAATGTCTAATTTTAACGTTACTTTAATATTCGGACACTTTAAAGTACAAGTAATTTTTTCCTTAATTTTTATATTTAACAAGTCATTTAATATCTTGTAGGGTAACCTTTTTGACTAATAACTTCCTTCAGACGTTGAGGCATGTTACCAATTATTTTTTTTAAGTATTCGGTATTAATATTGTTCCATTCTTTTTTTAATTGTTGTTTCAACATTTCTTTTGATGTTACTAGAGTTTTTCTAATTTGTCTTTCCAATTCGTCCCATAAGTTTTCAATAGGATTTAGGTCAGGTGACTGAGGTGGAGGGTGTAATAATTTTGGACAATTATACAACAAATATTCTTGTACAATACGGGCCTTGTGTTTAGGATCGTTGTCTTGATAGTATTTAAAAGTATCGGCAATACCCATTTTCATTGCACTTTTATGTAAATTATTTTTTAAAATGTTTAAATATAAATTTTTGTCCATAATATTGTCAATAAAAACTAATTCGCCAGTTCCAAATGTTGAAATACATCCCCACACAAGCACACTTCCACCACCGTGTTTCACAGTAGGTTTTGTATTTTTAAATTTAAATTCTTCATTCTTCTTTCTCCATACCATTCTTCGTCCATCTGAACCGAAAATATTGAATTTACTTTCGTCACTAAAAATAACGTCATTCCACCATGTATCTTCCTTTAAAACAAATTCTTGTGCATAATTTAGTCTCTTCTTCCTATTCGCTTCATTTACAAATGGCTTTCTTCTAGCAACTCTTCCGTTGTAACCACTTTTTTTTAGCGTCCTGCGTATGGTTTGGGGGTGCACCTTCTTCCCAGTCTCCATCAACAGTTCATCCGCCAGTTTTGGAGCACTTAATGAAGGATTTACCTTTACTTTTCTAATTATCTTCCTTTCATCACGAATATCCAACTTCTTTGGTTGCCCTTTTTGTGGTATAGACTCTATCCGGTCTTCTTGTTTATACCTTTTAATTATATCTCCTACTGTGCTCTTACTCAAATTCAGCATGGCGGCAATTTGTCTATACGATTTTCCATTCGCGTTATGAAAAATAACGAGTTGGCGTATTTCAAAACTGGTATTACTTTTGCGTGCCATTATGTTATGTGAATGTTCTGAATATCGAAACTAAACTGATACTTTCGAGGCTTAAAGCTCTTACATACAGACTAATACGTTTGTAAACAAAACACAACCTTCGAATTCCGAAGTACAAAGTATTATAAATGTTGCTGCGTCCTTGTGTCCGAATATTAAAGTAACGTTAAATTTTGACATTGTTTCATTTAACACGTATTATTTTCTGAATGCTGCAAGTTATGGGAATAAAATTTATATTATTATTAACTAGATACGATACTTCGATAATGTATCCGACCACGCATGATCTTTGTCTGTTGTTAACAAAATTACAGTGGGACAAAATAAAAATGTCGTAGTGTCCGAATATTAAAGTTACTCACTGTACATATAAATCGTTTCGGACACTATTATATGCTACACTTGTTTATGAGAAAAAATAAATCAGTTCTACTTCGCACACATAAAAATCCCACATAGTTTTAATAAATCCAAACTAACCTATACATATGGATTACTGGACAATAATATTCTACGTGATACCATATTTCTTGCAATAACTGACATGCAGCTTCTTCCACTGTCTTAATAATCAGCTTGCAAATATTCCCCACTATAACCTGTACCTGTCAAACAATATATACAACATTCAAACATCGCTGCATCACTTCTATACACAATGGACAAAATTACATACTAATCAATGACAAATATTTACTGCCGTTGGTTTTGCTCAAAATGAACATTAGCGTATATTTGCATTATGAAATCCAACGAAAAACCACTATTATATACAGGTTTAAATTCAACGCTACGAAAGATTTTAAATTTCATCTATACATTGCAAAACACATATTATGCATTTCAAGACACGAAACACAAAAGAATCACCAATTTCATTTAATTCACATCCGAATTTAATGTAATCCATCACATATTTTATCACATCACGCATAATATATACGAAATTGAATTCACCGAATTGCGTCTACCGCTACGCGAACTAGAACAGAGCGAGTTCCAATCTCTACGCAGTCCGAACGATTCCGAGTCCAAAAGGAACCTGTCCAATCGGCACGGCGTCCAATCGGCACGGAGTTGGAACTGTACGACGTCATAAACGCAGGACGTCCAATCGGCACCGCGTCGAATTGGGACGAGTCCAATCGACACCGCGTTGAATTGGAACGCGTCCAATCGGCAGCGCTTCGAATTGGAACGCGTCGAATCGCAGCCTGCAGCTGCGGCGACCGCTTCAATTACCTCTTTGGAGGTGACGGATGGGTTCAGGCCAACGGTACGGCATTCGCAGCACTTTATCGGCCTGGCCACCCTAACTCCCGTCCCCTCGAAGAGGGTCCTGAGACGGTTGGCCAAGTTGTCAGCCTTGGCCAGAGTTGCTGCTCCCTCGCAGGGTCGCGGTTGCGCCTACGCCGGACGTGTTGGTACCGGCGACGCAATGGAAGGCAGGCGTCGCGTAGCCGCGCGATCTCCCCCGTCCACCAGTACGACGCCCGGCGCGGGTGAGGGGTGGCCCAGGGCATCGCCATATCGCAGATATCCTTCATGGTGCCCCGGAACCACTGAGCCTCACCCTCGACGTCCGCGACCTGTCCAGCCAGGACCTGTCGGGGGGAAGCCGGCCAGCTAACCGCTAGGGCTGCAGCCACCATCATATCCTTTTTTTTTTTACGTGGGGGAAATCTTCCAAAAGATACCCCGCACCCTTGGGAGAGGGCGCAGGGTTATGCCGGATCTTTACCGGCTAAAACTCCCACGGTGGTCCACCTCGGCGCATTAGGAGGGGCCCCAGGAACTCTCGAAGAATACAACTGGGACCCCTCCAAAAGCGCCCTCGCTCTGCCTAGAGCACTTCCCGGGGGAGACCAGTGACCTCCCCCAATACTACAATCTCCAATTTCACGGCGACACCCGGACCACCAAGATGCCGCCGTCCGCCACGGGGCCGCGTGCAGGGCGTCCTGGGCCCCCACCCAGGACGCCTCGATCCCAGCGG